TAGCCTCCTCCACGGGACGACCCCTCCACTGAACTTTCACCGATGCTATCTCCTTGGATCTCAGCTTGCGAACCTGCCTGTCTAGAATGGCAACTGGCTCCACGTCATAGGTCAAATCACTATCAAGCTGCAGCGAGCTGAAATCCAATACATGTGACGGGTCCTCCACATATTTCCGAAGCATCGACACATGAAATACCGGATGCACTCCAGATAACCTAGGTGGCAAAGCAAGCCTGTAAGCCACCCCTCCAATCTTCTCCAGAATCTCGAAAGGGCCTATGAATCGAGGACTCAACTTTCCTCTCTTCCCAAATCTCAGAACGCCTTTCACAGGCGAAACCTTCAGCAGAACCTTCTCACCAACCATAAAGGATAAATCTCGAACCCTCCGATCTGCATAACTCTTCTGTCGCGACTGAGCTGTACGAAGTCGCTCCTGAATTACCTTCACCCTCTCCAAAGCATCCTGAACCATATCAGTACCCAACAGCCTGGCCTCGCCGGGCTCGAACCACCCAACCGGAGATCTGCACCGCCTCCCATATAGAGCCTCATAGGGAGCCATCTGGATACTGGACTGGTAGCTGTTATTATAAGCGAACTCCGCAAGGGGCAAGAAATCCTCCCACGAACCACCAAAGTCCATCACACAAGCCCGAAGCATGTCCTCCAGAATCTGAATAGTACGCTCGGNTCCAGAATCTGAATCGTACGCTCGGACTGCCCGTCCGTCTGAGGGTGAAATGCTGAGCTCAAATCAACCTGAGTACCCATACCCTGATGAAAAGCTCTCCAAAACTGGGAAGTGAACTGTGGACCCCTGTCCGATATAATAGATACCGGAACACCATGCAACCGGACAATCTCCCGAATAAAGATCGATGCCAACCGCTCCGAGGAATAGCTGGTGCAAACTGGAATGAAATGAGCGGATTTGGTCAACCGATCCACCACTACCCATATAGAGTCAAACTTCCTCGCTGTCCGAGGCAAACCAGTCACGAAGTCCATAGTGATCCTCTCCCATTTCCACTCAGGAATAACCATCTGCTGAAGCAAACCACCAGGCCTCTGATGCTCGGATTTCACCTGCTGACAAGTAAGGCACCGAGCTACATGGCTCACAATATCCCTCTTCATCCTCCTCCACCAGTACAGCTGTCTAAGATCCTGATACATCTTCGCGACCCCCGGATGAATGGAGTATCGCGAGCTGTGAGCCTCTGCCAAAATCAACTCCCGGAGCCCATCTACGTCGGGCACACAAATGCGACCCTGCATCCGGAGAACACCCTCACCATCAATGGTAACATCTCTGGCATCACCCCGCTGGACCCGATCACGAAGATCCTGCAAATGCCGGTCATGATACTGACACTCCCTAATACGGTCAAGCAAGGAAGTCTGAGAAA